TGCTGGGGTTGCTTGTCTCTTGTTTTATTATCCTTCATCTTTTCAAAAGACTCATATCTTGCCAACTAGTTGGTAGCATTTGACCCAGCGCTTGGCACAGCTGACCACGCTGCCTTCTCCTGGTTCTCCTGCCTTATTTGCTATTCCTTCTCCTCTAAAGGTTGGGGTGTCCCGAGCCTTTTCCCCCCTAAGTGACCTCATCGGTCTCAGGGCTTGAACTACCATTCACACCCCAAGGACTCACTGAGACTTGTGTCCAGCACAGACCTCTCCCCAGTCTTCACACTCCCACCACTAATGGCCTTCTCACTCACCTCTCCATTGGAAGGTCTAATAGGTGTCTCACACTTAAAACATCCAAAATGGAAGCCTTCGTTTCCACCATCCCCCACTCTGTCTCCACCAACCTGCTCCTTTTCCCAAAATGTAGGTCACCCTTGATGTCTCTCTCTCCACACCCACAGCCAACCCATCAACAAAGCCCACAGGAAGGGCTGCAACATGTATCCTGGGTCTGACCTCTCCTCACCCTAGTCCCAGCCCCTGCCTCCGGCCTGGGCTACTGTAGGAGCCTCCTAACTGGATTCCCCTCTTGGCCCTCTTAGTCTGCTCTCTACCAGCAGTCAGAGCAGTTTCTTTTTAAAAATATATTTATTTTAAATATTCGGTTTGATGAGTTTCAACAAATTTCTACACTGGTGTGACCAACACCCAAATCAGCTCATCGTCTCAGAGTTTCCTCTTCCGTCAGCCCTGCTCCCATCCCCTTCACATACATGTAATCATACAGAACATACTTTTGTGTTCTCAGTGTTTCACTCAGCAGAATGTTTCTGAGATTCATCTGTGTCATTGTGTGCCTTCCTATGACTGGGTGATAGTCCACGGTGCAGGTATATTGCAGTTTGTTCATCCATTTCTCATTAGGTATGAGTCTTGTGGACATGTGTTTTCACTTCCTTGAGTAAATATCTAGGAGTGGAATTGGTGGCTCATATGGTAAATGTATGTTTAACTTTTACAAGAAACTGCCAAGCTACATATTTTACAACATGGTTGTATCATTTTGTGTTCACTGCAGCAGCAACATGTGAGAGCTCCAGCTGTTCCCGTCCTCACCAACACTTGTTATTGTCAGTCTTTTCCATTTTAGCCATCGGGGAGGGTGTGAAATGCTATCTCATTGTTTAATGTGCATTTCCTTAATGACTAATGATATAGAGCATTTACTTACATGCCTATAGGCCTTTCATGTATCTTCTTTTGAGAAGTTTATGTTCAAATCTTAGAGCAATTCCTTTTAAATGTAAATCAGTCATGTCACTCCCCCGCTGGCTTCTCATCACATAACAAATCCCAAAGTCTTGACCATGGCCTACCAGCCCCACCCCCCGCCCCCCACCTCTGATCCTTCTCCCAACCACTCTTCTGAATTCCCTCTCAGAAACACCATCGTACTTGCCCTTCTGAAAGAAGGCAAGCATCTTCCTTGCCTCAGGGACCTTTGCACTTGCTGATCCCACTCCAGGAATGCTCTGTTCTGTTTATTCCAAGAATTCTTGGCTTACTTCTTTCAGGGCTCTTGCTCAATATCACCTCTTCAGAGAGGCC